TAGTGGGTCATGAATCGGTTCTCGCTTAGGTCGTTGACCTGCGAGCGACTAACGAGTCGCTCCAAAATTACTGGCAGCATTATTCATGCCCGTTGGCGGCCCCCGAGCAACTGCGCAGGGGCTACACAACGTGCATGAGCCATGGGTGCAATGATAGGTGGCGTGGATGAGGAAATTGCGAGTGAGGAGTGTGCGGGGTGCCGGCCAAGCTGAATGTGAATAGGACATGAACGAGTGAGGACAGTAACCATGATGATGTGGCAAGGAGAACATACGTTAGTGGTCAGGATGCGTGCGCCACGCCATCCTGACCGTAGTCTGACCAATGCCTTGCTGGAGGCAGGGACGCAGAGGCCAATCCGGCGACTTGATGTCCTCACACACTCGTTCCAGGTATGCAGGCAGCAGCTGCCTCGCCTGAGGGCTTAGGTTGGCACATCCGCAGGAACACAAAAACAAGCACCAGATAGAGGATTCTAGGCAGATTGGGATCCCATATTGGCAGCCGAGCAGGAGTGCAGTGGAAAGAGGTTGAACGAGGATTGTACGCGTGTTACTTACCCCGGTCTGAACCTGATAGATCGGTCCGGGTACCGAATCTGATTTGCGGACAGGCTGGCTGACTTTAATGTTTCGATAGCCCATAGACTCGTTGTTTCGATATTATATCTCTCATTTTCTCGAAATCGTCGGGCCCGACTTTCGAAACATTGCCGGTTGTCACTTGTCACATTTGCGGAGCTTGACTCACTTGCGATGAGTATCGTCAAGAGTTTCGAACGTACTGCACTGTTGCGACGCGTGCTGTGGTTGCGACGGCTCAGTATCCTCTTTCGAAGATCCTCCTCAAGTTGCGAAATTCCTCATCAAGTTGCGAAATTCCTCCTCAAGTGTCGCGAACGTCAGCCTGACTTTCGAAAGCTGGACTTTGACTTGCGAGAGCTTCAATCAATGTCGCGAGTGCGTAAATTCGTGTTGCGACTACTAAAAACTGGTGTTGCGACGGTATTTATTTTTGCTTCGTTTGGAACAGCATAGTCCTCCGAGTCCTGGCCATCAACGTATCAACTCTTTTGGCTACAACAGCAACTCGGAACCCTTCATTTGTATAACCTCCTTTCCAGGTGAGCTCGATGCAGCGCATCGAAAATGTAGATTCGATAACTCGCACGACTTAACCTTACATCGCTCACGCTCGGCTCCTGCATTGACTTCCCGCCGAGGTTGTACGCCCGTTTACGACCATTTTTATCTTTAAGGACGCATACTTGACGACAATCTTCCATTAGCTTAACTTACGAGTTTGCGCTATCGTAGCATCAGCACCAGCAGCAACGGATACTACGGGAATTTGTCCAGCGGAGAATCGGGGACCCTTGTAGTACGTTTCCTCCGGCATATCTCTACGATTTCCTGAACGGAGAGTTGCGCTTCCAGGTGACTTTCCCGAAGAAATAGACTGCTGCTTCGTTCATATTACTTGCAGAACAAGGGTATGAATCACACGGATAGGCTGTTTGGCTGCTGTACTTTCGACCCATATCAATCTGATGTGCATCCGCAGGATCTGAACCTGCCATCGCGTTCTGATTCGCGAATCGCGTTTCAACTTTCAATGCATTATCAGTAAGCGTCAATCCCATGGGCCAACTCATCTGCGATCGGACCCACAGCCTTGCCACTTCTATGGATGTTCTCTATCTATCCAATGCACCTCGTCGCTCAGCTGTGCTGTAGGGCTACTCGAAAATTGAAACGGGGTCGGGAACAGCTGTGTATGTCGAGCGCTCCCTCCCAAACTAGTCATCCGCCCGCGGCATAGAGTCTGAGACTCGCTAATCTTTGTGAAGCTGACAGTGGACTCCCCGATCCAACAATAACACAACGATAACCTATAAAGACGCGTCGAACCCTCCCTTCTGACCTCAGCATTCCCAGTTTGCTTCTCTCACATTTTCATCCTTTGCTCAAACCCAGTTAAAATTTATTCTCTCCATCCCATTTTTTTCAAGGTACTACTCCCGTCGCTCTCCCCATCAAGTATTACTCACAAAACAATCGCCTTACGACGCACACGCTGTTGGGAAAATGCCCCTCGTGAACAAGGATTATTATGGCCAGTGTCTGTGAAGCGTGTCCTATCAGCATCCTCAGCGCCCGTCTCTCGATGGTATTGTAATCCAACCCATCGCGATCAGGAGTACCTCGAGAAGGACTTGCTTCCTCCCCACGACAAACAAAGTCGGAAGAGGGAGGCGACGTCTTTGGAGGATAGGAGCCACAGTTTGGGGATGCATGCCGAGCATGTCAAGACTGGGTGAGGGACGCGTCGAAAGCAGACCGAGGTTACTGCCTTCTCTGCCCCAGCACCATGGACGCCCACTGTTTGGACACACCCACATGACCGTCAGATGACCTTTGTGGCTTCCCGTTCCCATTTGTTGCTTCGGCGAGCGTTCCTGGCCCAAGGTGTCCGACTGTCAAAGAGCCCGACACCTTTCTGACGCGCAGTCCATCGTCCCCGGCGTCGCTTTCAAACGAGGCGGCCTCTCGACCTGAATGTGTTCATTCCGAAGAGGATGGCGGCCAAACTGCAGAACATAGGTGACGATGAGAGTAGGAGGTTGACGAGGTTGGCGTTTATAATGTACCTCGTCGTCGTGCGCTCCTATTCAAGCGTGTTGAAGTCTTGAAGCTTGACGCATGAGGCGCGACCAATCCTTGACAAGTAGGTGGAGCTACGGACCGCCAGCTATCACCGTGGATGTCGTTCGATGTGGTCGTCCTTATGTCTGGAGCGCAGACGGCTATCGTAGCCTTTACGTCGACTGCATCGGTGCGTTGTCTTGCAGCCTTTGGATAAACTATGCTCAACGAAAAAAGTCTATCCTCAGTTCTCGGCTTGTGTTCCTCTGTTCTCCCAATGGCGAAAACATGAACACGTTACTGGATCTGCTCTTCGACGTAGATCAGAGATGGCGCATGACTCAAGTCATTATGACCGTGTTATTGATGCATGCTGGACTGACTCGGCGAGCTGCAAGGCATGCATTAGTGCGCCCGCATGTCATTCACGAGGTCCTTAGACCGTGAATATACGCATGCCATCCTAGACTTATGTATTGGCGTGTCGTCTTATCCATGCTAGGACGCCGAGTCGACGCTGTGCCGTTTATTAGCTCGGCGCCCACGTTCACTCCTCCTCAGTCCGTTCTGTCACCCTCAACAGTTTTGTCTTCACCTAATAACAAGACATTGTCAACGGCTCATTGTATCCGCAACATTGATGAAGGTGTAACGCGAATGTCTCATCCCGTGACTTGGCGTTCATGCGCCACAACGGGACGCCACAGCTTGCTTCGGCCGTACTTCGTAGCTGGACGCCCGAAAACTTTGCCTCGCGAAGTGAACACATCGCCTTGGCTTGGTGAAAGCAGCCAAGCTTCCTGTTCATGTGTTCTCGACGCCTTAGTCCATCCAATGTTCATCTGTGCGGCCCACCTTCTCGTCATTGGGGAGCTGCCGTTTTTCTCAGTATATAAGCGCTGAAATTTTAGTCTGGTCGACATCCTTCTCGCTCCTCCAACAAGTCGACTTCCTCATCGACATCCCCTCTCTGCAGACATGTTGGTCAACGTCCTATCCGTTTTAGCTCTCTCCGCGATCACTCTCGCAGCCCCGGCCGTGCTGGCGCCACTTGACCAAGGCATGAAAATGCGCGCTGTGGCCAGATGGGACAAGGACTTCGACTTCAAGGAGAAGGAATTCAAGGAGAAGGAGTTCAAGGATAAGGACGACAAAGACAAGGATTGCGATGAGAAGGACGATAAGCACAAGGACTTTAAAGACAAGGACAAAAAGGAGACTTGGGTGGTATGCATATAACCTTGCGCTTAACGTGTTTCCGCTAACGCCGGCGTATTCAGACTTAGGATGATAAGCACGACAGGAAGGACAAGCACGACAGGAAGGACAAGCACGACAGGAAGGACAAGCACGACAGGAAGGACAAGCACGACGAGAAGGACAAGCACGAGGAGAAGGAGGACTGCGATGATGAGAAGGACGAGCACGAGAAGAAGGAGAAGGAGAAAGAGAAGCACGACGAGAAGGATAAGCACGACAAGTATAAGCGCCATGACAAGCAGGACGGGAAGGATAAGGACGACAGGAAGGACAAGGACGACAGGAAGGACAAGGATGACAGGAAGGACAAGGACGACAAGAAGGAGAAGGATAAACATGATGAGAAGGAGGACTGCGATGACGAAAAGGAGAAGGACAAGCACGACAGGAAGGAGAAGGATAAGCACGACAGGAAGGAGAAGCACGACGGGAAGGAGAAGCACGACAGGAAGGAGAAGCACGACAGGAAGGAGAAGGATAAACACGACGAGAAGGAGGACTGCGATGACGACAAGGAGAAGGAGAAGGATAAGCACGACTGGAAGGTCAAGCGCGACGGGAAGGAAAAGCACCACCGGAAGGGTAAGCACCACGGGAAAGGCAAGCACCACGGGAAGGACAAGCACCACGGGGAGGACAAGCACTACTAGTCATCATGCTTCTAACTTATATATATATGTACCACGGACTTCTTCCTGCTCTGGCGGTTCACTTACGCCGGCCAGCATGGACACCTAGTTGCATTTATTGGCATTGTCGTAGCAGTACCGCATTGCAGTCATCTCAAAACTTCCTCAATATAGCGAAACAGCGAAACTAAGTACACTGTTAGGACACGTTGGCTTAACATTAAATGGGTTTGTTCAGTTGTGGAGGCCATTCAAATGGAATGTCCCAGTCGAGATGCCATGGCTCGGGTATTTTGGTGACAGACACGGAAGGAAGTTCATCAAAGGCAGAAACCTACAGTGAATTGAATAAATATTAAACTACGTTTTTGTCAAGACCTGATCAATGAGAAAAAAAATTCCCTTGATAATTTCTCAAAATTTCTGAACAATTTTCAAAAAAATGGAGGATAGGACGTATGGTATTGACCACCGCAAGGATCGAACTTGCAATCTCCTGATGCGATTAGCCTACTATGACGCGATCATCGTAGTCAGACGCGATGCCATTTCGCCAGGCGGCCATGTACACGATCGAAGTGTGGCGTGCAAGTAGGGAGCGCCATAATAATCGAGACTGATCATGACGAAATCCTCTTCCTGAATGTACATACTAAACAAGGACTTAAATCGAAAAAAGCAGCCTGAGCCTACAGCTGACCGTAACGAGAAAAGACTGATCGACCATCCGCTGAACAGGTTATGACGGCGGTTAGGAAGGCGCTGCATGATCCGAGGTATAAAGCACGCGCCATCGAAATGGAGAGGGAGAAGTATGATGCGGTTAAAATCCTTGTAGATACAGTGGAGGAGCTTACACCTCAATGGAGGAACGTTAACGGATATCCTACCGCAACTTGTCCAACAACACCGCCTTTCCCTTCATATCACTGCCCTCAATATCCTTCACCACACTCTTCGAGAACCACTTCTTCGCCTCTTTCCTCGTCTTCTCGTCGCACACACCCAAAGCCTCTGCAACAACAAAGGCCCATTCCTATCCCCCTCCGTACACATCCCCACGATGCCATCCTTCCCAAGAGTATTGATAAACGCCGTCGCATAGGAAGCAGCGTCCCAGCGCGGCGCTTTATCAATCGAGCTGGTTCCGCGATTGAAGTGTCCGCCCTGTAACAGCGTCTTGTACATCCTCGACGTATGCGGCAAGTCTATGACGTGTACACTCGACGCGTCCTCAGAGGGATAGGGCGATGCGCATGGCGCCAAAAGCGCTTCAGATGCTTTCGATTTATCTGCAATAAGTGTCAATCACACGCGGATTCGAAATTAAGGACGGCGAACGTGCTCACCTCCATCGCCAAAGAGCATCAGCTCCGCAACCACTAGACTGCCACCTGGCTCCCTCGCGATCGTCTCGCCTTTTTCTGCCACCCAAGCAAGAAGCACCTCGCTCGCACCAGTCCGTATCTCGTTCTCCCGCGACTCTGCATCCTTCTTACTCGTCCGCGCCCTTATCTCATCAGTCTCAGCTATCAAGGCGTTCTGCGCGGGAGTAAAATGCCGTTTGGTTCGCGGGACCAGGAGGTATAGCAGGACGCGACGTCCTTGCGACGAGAGATAGAGCTCATCCAGCGATGGCGTTATCTCAGGAAGCAAGGTCTTGAGCACTAGCTTGGTGTCACTAGGAAGACATTAGTTCTGATACTGGACCGAGAAGTGAAGTATCTTACTCAATGACATCGATGGCAGTAAATAAAACGAGTTGCGCATCCTCATCTGAGCATATTTTGACGATGTGCGGTTTGAGAATTTTGAGAATCTGTTTGCGATCTTTGGCGCTCCCTCGAGCAATGAACTCGCGAACGACACGGCTACCGTCCTTGGTATGCACCAATTCAGCGAGGACTTCTTGACATCTACGGGTTTGTTAGGGTAAACTAAAAGGTAGGAGAAGGGACACACGTTTCGTAGATCTCACGAAACTGTTTATCTCGCTCCTCGTCTTGTGGTATCTCGTTGACAGCAACGATGTATTCCCACAAGGCGCGATGGACGACGGCATGTGTGACGGCGCCTTTGTCCGGATTGTTGAATCTAAGTCGCAGTTAGCACCAGATGAAGGACTGGCAACACAACGAACATTGATATTAGTCCAGTCTTCGTTGCCTCGATAATTCGCCGTCTGCGCTCTTTATCTGCGCCCTCCAAGACTCCAGCCAGACCTTTCTTGGCTCGCTCCTTGTCTTCCGTACTGCCCGACGTTACGCTGAACATATTGGCCTCCTTGCCGTAGAAATCGCGCAAGAGGATGGATCGCTCATACGCGTTGGCGTGGAGTTCAAAGGCATCCGCGAGCACAGAAGTTGCTTCACGGTGTAAGAGTAGTCGGAGAACATGGGATTGGAATTCGAGCAGGATTGAGGTACGATGAGCCGGGCAGTGTTTTATCAGTTTCGTAACCAGAAACTGTAGAAATATAAGCAACGGGATAAGCCAATCTAAGACGGGAGTGTACCTTGGAATACTTGTTCTGCGCGAGCTCCTTGTACTTGCCCTTTAACTCAACGGCAATCTCGTCGCGTTCCTTTTGCTTGCCATGCTTGACCACGGTCTGCACAATCCGACTGGCGTCGTGCTTCAACACGATATCCTTGACCTTGCCCCGTATAACGTCCATTAATTCATGGATATGTTTTTGTCGCTCTGCAGTCGGGATATTTTTCTGTCGAGCGAGAGACCACACCCGTTTTGCTTCGGTCAAAAGGGACGAATGCGGCTTGGCCGCCCTCCGCTGCTCTTGTACAACTTTCTGCGCCTTGTGGGCCTCGCGAACGGCTGGTAGGAGATGTGAGTGGAAATTTACACAGCGCTTCAACTGAACTCGCACCTAATGGATCTTTTACGGGCTTCTGCTCCTCGTCGACGTCCATGACATCTCCGTCGCCGTCGACAAAGTCGTCGGCCTGACCGTCTATTTCATCGGAATCAGATCCAGTGTCGTCAGAGCCAGGTGCAGGCCTAGTTACTGGTTGACTGCGTTTTTTCTTCTGTGTCGAGTCGAGGTGGATCTTCTTCGTTGCAGGACCTTTTTGCGATGGAGCTGAGCGCTTTTTGCTATTTTTTGGGTAGCGGCAGCCATCCTCGCGAATGAAGATGGAAGACGAAAAGAGAAAATAAGTCCGGTCCGACCGCCGAGCCGGCGGCACTTCAACTAGATGGAAGCGACCAAAAGACGCGCGATAAGTTAGTCCAGAGAGTTTATGGTCCTTGTGGACGCAATGTCAGTCAGAGAGATAAGTCCCAAAGACAATGAGAATGTAGGTTTTGGTGCCAGCCGCCTGCCCAGGCGGGGTCGGGAAGCGGGCCCGGAAACACGAGCGGGAATGACACGTGACTGGCGGATTTCCCGACGCACCAAACACAGACGCAAGGGCGAAACGAACCCGTACGGACAAGAAGGGGACGAGAACGGATCGCCACGCGTAGCGGGCAAACAAAAAGGGCAGAGGAGGGTGGGCAAAAGCCGAAAATATCCCAGTGCACTGGTGATTGAGTGCAGTCGGGATCAGGACAGATGGACGCGGAGAGCAAGAGACGATGCGCGTCCAAGGCCCGCGATCACGATCAAGCTACGGTCCACGTGGCGTGTTGGCTTGGGATCGCAGGCTCTGCAGACCGCTTTCTCATAACTAAGTTATCTCACGCTTAGCATGCTCGTTCTGCTCGTTCCTCGCATTTTTCCAAGCTAGCAACAACTCTCGGCCCAATCTCAGCCCCGCCAGCTCATCAATGCGAAGGATGTTGATATCGCTGCACATCTGATTCCTATCATAGATTGTCTGTTGGGATGTCGGAAGAGTTTGTCGTTGACAGGTGTAAAATTGACCGAAACTTGCTGCCTCTCAATTCTACAAAGCCTCTAGAATGCCAGTTCTCCTCAGCGTTCAACGGTTGCTCCAACAATACCAGTACGAACAATTCAATTACATAACTGCAAAATCATCGTCCTGTTCGTTACTTCTTGAACGCCGACAATTCCAACCACTTCCTGAGGTCTAAAAGATCTGGAAGAAGCTCGCGGCATGCTGCAGGATCAGCCACGAACTCGTGTTGATTCCAGAACTGTCCTCCGCATTAGAGACCGATGCAATATCATTGGATAAATTACTCACATCGTACGCCTTCTTGAAATCGGGAGGGAAATCTTGGGGCGTCATCGCATCTAGGTCAATGCCTGTGACATCCTTGAAGGCGGCGACTATCTGCCTTGGGGTCAACGCGTCGCCCGCGAGATCGATAGCCTCCCGCCAAAGGTGGCTGGGTCGTCAAATGCCGAAGCAACAGCATACCCAATGTCGTTGACGGCGATGAGTTTGGATTTGTGGTTTGGATTCAGTTTGCTTGAGACGTTCTGGAGGAGGGTAGGCCAGTAATAGTTCTCCATGAAGCCGGTCGGGCGAATGATTGTGTACGCAGGTAGGCTCTGGTGAGATTGCAGGTATCTCTCGATTGCGCGCTTTCCTTCGTAGCTACGATTGGAGTTGAGCTAACAGTCTATGTACAAAGCGGTATTGATAAACGTACGTGGGGAGCGCATTCTCGTCGGTGCCGGAATAGTCAGCACTACTGTAGACAACGTGTTGCACGCCACGTTTCACTGCAAGGTCCACCAGAACTCTGGCTGTATTTATGGATCAGTTCAGAGTGAAAGTGTCATAGATTTTATGTGGGTCCAACCTTCTTTCTCCTCATCTAGAATTAAGTTTCCCTCCGGAGATGGACCGAGGAGAAACACGCCGTGGATAGGCTCGTTAAAAAGTGTCTCGGGCTTCGCTAGAGTGCCCTGGAGCAGCGAGACGCCAGGAAGATTGGCAAGAGCGGCCGCCTTTTCGGACGACGCGTCGCGCGTGAGAGCGAGGATCTTGTACTTGGGCGAAGACGCTGCCGCGTTCAGTTTGACGAGTGCGTGAACTGTCGCTCCGCCCTGCTGTCCTGTGGCGCCGCAGATGAGGATAGTGCGAATAGTAGAAGCCATGATGTAGGTGAGAGATATCCACTATACTTACTGATGAATGCTTTTATACGCGGATATAGCTCTAGTAAGGCGTATCCGTCAAGCCTTCCAGTCAGAGTAAACAGTTAGCAAGAAAACAGCCATTCTTCCGCGTAGACTTGCCGGAGCGTTACGCCATCCAATGCGCCAGCGCCCAGATGTAAGGGATGTGAAAGCATGTATTTGACCTTAGTAAACAATCGAAAGAAGATGAATAGACAGGTGACATACAAAGCAGCGCGCGTTGATATCCGCCCCCTCAATGCCAATGTTCTCATTCCTTGGCTGTATGGCAGTACGCGGAAACGGTAAAACGGAGCTCATCCGAGTCTAAATTGTAAATCACTTTGTAAACAAGGAGGCGGAATTATAACGTCGCCATAATCAGGAACAGTCGGTTGTGAAAACGTCAAATCTTTGTCCTCGATCGTTCGTGATGATTCTGTCCAAGACGAAACGGCGACTACGTCTGCGAACAGTCAAGCGTGCGCTACCAGCAGCACTGTCAGC